AAGTGATTCCAACATGACGAAGGGTGTGCTTTCAAAGTGCAATTAAAGCAATTTGGCCAAGTAGGGAAAATAGATAGAAAGTAAATATGCATGGTAATTTCGGCCATCACAAGCTTTTAAGCTAAATTACAACAAGACTGATTTTTATCATATATATTTTTATATGTGGCAAACCCCCTCTCTCTTCCTCTACTATTGTGATGCTATATATTGCCATGTAACTCCTTTTGAATGAGATCAAATGAAAATTAAATACTTTTATGGCTTTATTTTAACTATGGTTTGGCGGCCTCTCCTTTGGAAAGCTTGACGGCTCTTCCATATAATTATTGTTGGAAAAATGCTCAAGCTCTCAAAATTGAACAAAATGGTTATTCCCCTCAACCTCTCATCACTTCTATAGCATTAAAAGGTTAAAGTATGAATGAAAATTTTAATCATCATTCTAATGAAAAAAAAATTGATGGTTTGAAGTCCTCCAAACTCCCTTGTCTTGTGGTAAGTCCTAAAAACTCCCCATATGTCTTTTTTCTCTCTCAAAATAAAGACCTCCATGGATTCACACTAATATCCTTCAAAGAGTTATACCAGTCCTTTATAAACTCAGCTAACCTTTTCCTATGTGGATCTCTTACTTGGCTTCATCTTGTTTGATATTGAAAGAAAGAACTAGACCTATTTTAAAAAAAAAAATATTTAACAAATTTGTAAGAACACTCTTCAAAACGCCCGACAGAAAGAAGAAAAACAATGAACACTCAAAAGATAATCCCAAACCACCCTCTTCTAGTTCTAACCTTTAGTGTGATCATTGCAAAATAAAGGTTAAAAAAAACAATGTTGACATTACATCTGTATTTTAAAGAAGTATAAGAAGGTACAGGGTCAAAAAGTTGGCCACATCTCTTGAAACAAGTAAAGCATTGGCGTTGATCCAACATTTGAAATCAATTCCATCCTTGATAACAAGGCCGAACGAGATAGATAAGAACTAATCATCCAACACTGATGTGTGTGAGAGGAGCTTTTCACCTTGCATATACAAGTCAAGATATGGTAACCATCAACATTGAAACAGGAAGTCAAAATAATCAAATATTTGCAAGTCTCATTCAAAGACTTGATTTGGATATTACTACTCAGCCCCACCCTTAATCTCAGAAGTGTTCATCAATATCAGTTTGCTAAGAATGACAAGAAACACTATATGAATAAGACTGGAGATATTTACTCCAAAGAAATGAAGTGACATAACAAATAAAAGGATAAAATAAAGCTTGCAAAAGGACCAATTTTATCTTCATCCGATTGGAAAAATCGTATGGTAATGCTTTGCACTAACATTTAGAAAGGAAGGATAGGAACAACAACTAATGGGAGAAGATGCAACATTCTTCCCAAAACTAAGAATTTTTCACTAAATAGTGGAAGAGTCTGCTACTCAAATGCCTTTGGAGAAGGAACATGGTCACATGTTCCTTTTGCATAAAAATAGATAAAAAAGGCACCTATCTTAGCCCTGACCATAATAAAAGTCTTTCTTCATATTGAAGCCAAAAAGATTTAATTTGACACAATGTGTTACACCAATCAAGCAATTAAAATCATCAAAAGATATATGAAAACAAAATAAATAGGATTTGGAGCATCATCTACTAAATTGAATAGTCATAGCACGAGAATTCCATTTTTTCTCATCTCTTTCTCAACTAGATTTATGGGTGTGAGTCTACTTCTCAAAAGGGGACGCATAATCCAAAGATCCATACGAAGTTATTTTGATTTATATTTTATTAGAAGTAAGCACGCCTTAATCTTTGACCTTCGCCATTCTTTCTTTTGTAAGAAGTTACACTCATACCTTGAATTGTGACATTCCCCACTCTCTTTATTTCATAAAAGGCTAAATTCATGCCTTGATCTTTGTCATTGCCCACCCTGTCCTTCAAAAAAGTTACAATCAAACATGCATTGATGCAAAGACACAAGTATATTTTCACTTCTCATTAATGCATCCATGCAACTTTAATGAAGGGAATCTCTTCATGTACTTATGATCAAACCCCTCACAACTAATGGTTGCACCCTTCCACTCCTATAAGGCTTGAAGCATGGTTAGAGTTTGTAATCCTTCTTCCAATGAAGAAAAGATTGAAGCTTTGACGTCTCAAAAGCTCCCTTGCCTTATAGCAAGCGTGATTACGGTAAATTATTTTCCATCCAATTCCTCACATATGCATAAATCTCAAAAAAAACCAAGCTCTCTTCTCATGTTCATCTCTTTCTTGACTACGTGTCATTTCACATAGAAATTACCCATGAAGAAGAATGAAAAAAACATATAAGCGGAAGAGGTTAGTAATCTTCAAAATTCAAACAATTCTTCTACTTCTAATCACCCCATCTGCTCTTCCAAAGTCAAAATCTCAGATCCATTCAGAACAAAGAAAACATGCAAAACTAACCACAAATCAGATCCAATAATACTACAATCGATGCACAGATGAATTCTTAGATAGGAAAAACAAGCTCTTTTTTCTTTCCCACGGATCACTTACAGCTGCAACAGAGATGAACAGTTCTAGGGGAAATCAAACAAATTAAAAACAAAAAAACCAACTTTTACTCAATCTTATTCCATCCCTTAGCAAGAAAAAAGAAGAGATAATTACCAGTGACCGCAGATTGTCGTCATTGAATCAGAAGCAATCGCCATGAAAACCAACAGTGAAGGCCCGATAGAAAGATCGACGACGAGAAACAGATGGAACCCTAAAACGATTCGATTGTGCTAAAAAAAATTCGAGCTTGTTGGAATCTAACAAGTGAGGAAGAAGCGGAGGCAGAGATGGGGCGGAGAATTGTTCAACGGCCTACCAAATCTGACTACCTTCCGTTTGATTTGGATCAACGAAGACAAGCTCATTCTTTTGCAGTCGGACAATTTTTCTATTTAAAAAAAAAAAAAAAACTTCAATTTTATATTTTAAAGATTGAAGATATACATACAGATTCCTCAAAAAGGCAATTATTTTCTGTCCGGACACCTGACATATCTCTACGTGTGGTTTTGAAGATATACATACAGATTCCTCAAAAAGGCAATTATTTTCTGTCCGGACACCTGACATATCTCTACGTATGGTTTAGTTTATTCCTGAGTTATTTTCAGTCAACAATAACCCAAAAATAAAGACTGCAGGTTATTTCGGTATTATTGAATATAACCCAGAAATAACCTGAAAATAACTCAGGAATACCCTACACCGTACATAAAGCTACGTCAGGAGTCCGCACTGAAAAATTTTTGCTCAAAAAGATGTTTTTTTTATAACATAAAGCTACGTCAGGAGTCCGCACTGAAAAATTATTGCTCAAAAAGATGTTTTTTTTCTATGCATAAAAAATATGTTTTTTTTTATTTTTTTTAAGTTAATTTTATAATTTTTTTTGATGTGATATGAAAGATTTGATGGAATAAATGTAAAATATAAAATTTAGAGGTTATATATATAATACAAAGAGATTGTGAGGTATGTGTGTAAATGATTTAATTTAAATTATATTTGATTGAATTTTCTAATTAAGATATGTGGCTAAAATTCTAATCAAGTGATTAAATAAATACCCATTTTAAGAAAATAGAAATTTAGAATGTTTTTTAAATGAGTAAATTCAAATATAATGTCAATAAAATTTTCATATTATTTTTTTTTTAATGTTAAGAGTGACAAAACATAAAGATTAATATTATCTTTAATTTAGTTATTTTCTTATATTAAAGTGTGGATAAATTTGTAAATTATGTTAGATAAAAATAAATTATAAAGGTGTGTGATAAATGAAAGTTCAAGGAAAAAATTACAATAATAAATTATTTTTTACTTTTTTTTTTACATTTTAATACCATCTCCTTTGTTTATATATATATTTCAGTCAAGTAAGATGACTATAACATTTTAATTCATTTTATTAAAATGAAATTTAAAGTATATTTGATTGAATTTCTTACTTGATGATATTTGCTAATAAACAACTAAAAAAATGTATATTTTAGAAATGAGAAGTGTGTGTGACTTTAAGATTAGGGCTATCAACACTCTTCGTTGATCGTGAATAGTTCGTGTTCGGCTTATTATGAAGCTCGTGTTAAATTCGTTCGCTAAATTAATAAACCAACAAACCGAACATGAACAAAAAATTTTTCATTCGCGTTTGACTTGTTTTGGCTTGAATTTGACTTGAAATATATATATATATATATATATATATAGAAAATTATTAATTTAATTATCCATCCTGAACATAACCTGACTCAGCCCCTGACTATAAGGCTTCACTTTGTCTATATTTTATTGAAATTTTGTGATTATGAATACAATCCTAGAGTTTGATAAATAAATGAATTTCGAAAATGATTTAAGAAAAAAATATTTGAATGCCATATTCAATTATCTCCTTTGTTGAACAAAATTTGAACACAAAGTTCCAAACCTAAAGTTTAATAATTAAATGTGTGACTTGACTTAGAGCAAGCCTTGAAAAATGTTAAACCTCAAGAAAGAGAATGGGATGGTATTTGGATATAATTTGAATCAACACTTCCATGCTTTTAGATTCATTTTTATTTAGATTTAATAGTGTAGATAAATTAGAGTTAGAGAATGATGCGTGCTAGATGATTCACAGCGGTAGAGTGATAGATTATCGTCTCAGTGTTGCACGAGAATTCAACACACAATCAGATGAGAGAAAAGATGCCAAAAGTTTTTACGTGGAAAAACGAAAAAGAGAAAAAAATCGCAGGCATGACCATATTATAAAAATTTACTATAAGTTGATGATTATAGAGATTGTCTCACAGGCGGGTAAGGTTTACAGAGTCTTCCGAATTACAATGTTGATATTTGGATAAACTTGTTACAAGGAACGAGCGGCAAACGATGGCGGTTAGCGGTGATCAACGACGATAGGAGTGATACTGAACTCTAGCTCTTTCTCAAAGCTCCAAGCTCTTCCTCAAGCCTCAAGCTCTCATCCTCCGAGCTTTATTTATAAAGTTTTGGATGCAATTAATGCACAAATATGAATCACTTTTATTGAATGGGTTAAATGACTTCCCTTATTCAAATGACGTTTGATGGATATTTGAGTGCATTGATGATATCGAAATTAAGCTATCTTGGGCTCGTTGGATTTGTCTCACCGAGATGCTAGATTCAACTAGGAATTCTTCAGATTCAACATCTATTTAATCTCTCAAATGTGTCGTAAAACTTTCATATGCGGTTTAATGTTTTGATCAGAGCTTGATTTGTCTTGGATTAGACTAATTTTGACATTCTTGTGGAGTCGTTCAATTGGACTATTATTTTATTGAAATCAGAGCTTTGGGTGACTCATAATTGAAGTTTGAATGTTTTTTTCGCTCAAAATGTTGTTTTGATAGTCATGTCGCACTTCAACATTCATGCAGAATAATGAAAATTTATTTTTGTCGTATCAGTTAACCTCCTATTTTTAGGTGAGATCAACTTTATTGACCAAAAATATGAAAGTTTTATATATATATATATATATATATTTATATTTATATTATGTTTAGCACACACATTTATACCACATTTTTCATGCCTGCGGGAATTGTTGGGCATTAGGAACGACATTTCCTTCCAGTCTGCATAATCCCGGCAACAGGGCATTGGGAACGATATTAAGCATTTATGCCACATAATTCTCATCGGCCGGCGAAAATAAAAGTGGAAATGAAAGCTGAATGATGAGAACATGATTAATGGGATCTTCTTCCGAGCTGTGATGTAAAAGAAAGTTGTCCCGTCTTATTTAGTAGATGACCAACGAGACATTCTTTTATGTTGTGGTGCAAAAGAAAGTCGTCTCCGTCCTACGTAGTAGATGACCAACGAGATCTTTTTTCATGTTGCTGTGAAGAAAAACTATTCTCCATCTCGCATAACAGGCGACCAACGAGATCCTCTTTCATGTTGAGACACAGAAGAAATTCATCCCCATTCAACATAGGCAATCAATGAGATCCTCCTCGTGTTGCACTGTGGGAGAAAGTCGTCTACATTTTGCGTAGTAGGCGACCAATAGGATCTTCTTTCACACTTTTATTGTGCAATTCGATGGAGATGAAAAAATGCTAGAGTTTTCCTATCGCGCTTTGAGGGGCAAATTTTCATGCTTCTGTGGTGATATTAAATGAAGATTAATTATCCTTTCGACAGAACTCATGATTCAACAGTGTCGTAGTCATTTTGCCATAATTCATCACCATATCTTTGATCACTTGGGTCAAATAATTTTGGATTTAGCCACAAGCACTCATGCTCATCTTCAACCAATTTCTCTGACATTTCTTCAAAATCTTCATCGTTATCTAGGACTTCCTTCAGATTTAGAGAACAAAGTGTATTCATTACCTCGCATCGTCACATGCCAAAGTATCCTTTCTCATTAAATTTCACTACATCAATTTTGGCGGGACGCGTAACCACCCGATAAATCGTCTTTTTCACTGTCACAGTGAACTTTGAAGATACTGACATCGTGCTATCATTCATGACCCTCACTTCCGGAATATTTTCCTCCAAAAAAATTTCATCTAACAAAACATTTAGAAAAAAATGAAAAAAGAAACTTAAGAAAGATTTGCTCGAAAAAGAAAAAAAAAATATTTCAGAAAATTCCTTTTTTACAAATATTTTCTTTTTTTTTTCTTAAAAAAATTCCTTTTAAAATTCATTTTTCTTCCACAATTCCTTTCATTTTCCTAATTTTTAAAAAAAACTTTATTTCTTAAAAAATCTTTCCTATAGACTTCCCCAAAATCTTCTCCACTGGGCAACAGCAAAGAAGTATGAAAATATTCCTTCTACATTCCCTCAATCAATCCTCCCTGAGACGCCTACCACCTTTTCCCACCAGACCTCACCGAACCGCCGCTCGAACCGCTGCCGGACCAAAGCCCACCGGATGAGCTCCTCGAGCAGCCGGGAATATCGCCAGGGCCGCTGGAACTGTCGAAGCAATCACGCCGAACCACCTGTTACAAAAATCGCCGGCAACACCTGCCAGATTTGCTGTTACCGATTCTGAGACACACAATCCAATCATTGTCGTTGAACCACAAACTGAAAACCACACACTAATAGCAATTGCTATAAATTCAAACAACAATAATTAAACACAAAGATTTATGTGGTTCGGCATTAAGTCGATTCACCCATATCCGCGGTGAGGAGGGAGATTTCACTAGCACCGAATGAGAGAAAGAAAGAAAGACATACGATTACATATCAACACTTCTCAGCATAATCAGCTCTCATGAATACTAAATCCTTTTTTATCAGGGAGGACTAAGACTTATAAATAAATAAAAACAAAAGAAAAAAAATACCTAATTACAATAAAAATAAATAATGTCATAAATACAATAGTCGGAGCACTTTAGCAGTGCAGCAAAGAGAAAGAGAAGGAAGGAGGGATTCACATGAATCCTACAACTGGGATGATCGACCTTCGAGGCAAAGGGTTTTTCGACTCTGTCGTGATCGAGAGAGAGAAGTGGAAAGGGTGGCTTGAAAATGAGGGCTTTGTCGCTTGGGAAGAAGAACTATGAAGTAAGTGGAAGACTTCGTGTCGCCACGAATCAATCGAGTTTTGAAGTTGATATAAAAAATTTGTAGAGTTTATGGATACACCTCGATAGTGCCTCAATATCACATCAATAATATCAATCTGAACCTAACTTGTTTGCATATAATATTTTTCCCAAGTTCCTATGAAAAATTTGTTGTGAAAAATTTATTGTTTAAAAACTATTTATTTAGCATCAATTATCCTATTTGAAAAAAATCATTTTTAAAATTATTGTTTATGAATAAATATCGGAAATATCTTTCTATTTATATTTCAATTTGTGATGTTATAGATTTTTTTTCACCCATTTTAATTTTACATTTTAGATTTTACATTCTAATAAAATATATTAAATATTAATTTATCATGAAAAATTTGACTATTTGTACATATTGCCACATTTTCCAATAAAAAAAAAAATTTGAAAAAAATGGTGTCAATATTTGTACATATGGCAACATTCGTGGGTCCCACTGTCATACAGCCACGATGCTCGGCTGTGATCGGAGAGCGCACGCAGCACGTGCGCTATGCAATAATCGCTCCATGGGAGGAGATGCAATTCAGCAGTCCGACAGAAAAACTATCCCAAACGGACCCTTAAATTAATTTCCTAACATTTTTATATATTTATTATCTCGATCAATAATAATAATGATATTTTTGATTTAATGTTAATGATTTGAGTGGCATGCATGTAAATATGAATGTTTAGGTGCTATATATGTCAATACATAAGATTTGTGTGGTATGCATGTAAATGCCCCTTTTTAGTGGCTATAATTTGATTTCTGAGCAGTTTTTGTTGATTTTTTTTTTTTCAGAAGATTTACATTCCTACCACTCAAATTCCTATGTATTTACATATGCAACACCTTAACAATGCATGAAAAGGTGTAAAAGTTCAAATGGTGGTGTTTTTCATATGATATGAAGATTTGCAGGTGTTACATTTGTAAATACATAGGAATTGGGTGGTATATATGTAAATGGCTCAGTTTGTACTAGAAAGGCTAAAATGATAATAAAGAGATATACCATCACAAAAAAGCAAGAAGATTTATATAAACTTGTGAAAATGATAGTCAAATGTGCAGCCCAAAAAGCATAAGAGAACCACATTCTTGTAGAATACAAGGACTAGACTGAGTAAAATAAATAACTTTCTTGATGCTCCAAAATGACACCATATGAGCTCTCTTTCTCTGGGAAAAATATTATATCAGGACTCCGAACGTACCGCCGCAGCTACGTTCGGATTGCAATAGTTAGGAATATTCCGCTGTGTTACAGAAATATTTCATCTGCGTTATTTATAAAAAATGAAATATTATTCGATTATTTTACGTTGTTATTGGTTATTTGATTTGGGGCTGTGTTATTCGGCATATTCCTCATGTTATTTCAATTTTCACTATGTTATTGGAATAACAGTCCTAAATCAAGTAACGCGGGAGAATATTTCAATAAAACTTTATTGGAATAACACAGTCCCAAATCAAGTAATGCGGGAGAATATTTCAATAAAACTTCAGCCTCAAATCAAGTAACGCGGGGAAATATTCCAATAACACCCCAAAATAATCAAATAACACCGTATCATACTCGAATAACACTTCATTTTTTACAAATAACGCGGACGAAATATTTCTGTAACACAGCGGGATATTCCCAACTATTGCAATCCGAACGTAGCGCTATTCGGAGTCCTGATGTAATATTTTTCTCTTTTTCTCTCTATTACTTAATATAAAGAAAAATTTACATATATACCGTACAATTATATGTATTTACATATCTAACTCCTAAAATTTAATATTTTTGCTTTTATACCATTTTATTTATGCTTGAAAAGATGTGTTTCACTTTTTAAAATTTAAGTTAGAATGGTATTTTTATGTGATATGAAGGTTTTTAGTGTTGCAAGTATAGAAAGTAAAAAATTTTGATGTTAGATATGTAATTGTGTGGTATATATGTACATGCTCCTAATACATATTGTCTCATCTTCAAAAAAATTTCCTTTTTAGAAGATTTACATACATACCACTCAATCCCCCATGTATTTACATATCTAACATCCAAAATTTCAGTTTTTACATGCATGAAAAGTTGTTTTTCACTCTTAAAAAGTTGAAGTGATGGTATTTTTTACATGATATAAGAGATTTGGATGGTGCATAAATATAAAAAAGCAAACTTCAGCTGTTAGATATGTAAATGGAAATCTATGTTTCAATTGACAATAATGTCCTCCATAACTTGTATTTTGAAGAAGAAAGCTAAAAATACAGAATAGACAATGACACATCACTTCAATTCATCCAATATAAGATATTCAAAAGATGATGAATAAGTTCATATATGCTGTATGCTCCATTGATGCTGTACATATTGCAGAATATCAGCTGATTTTATTCTCTATTTACTCCGAGAAGATGAAAAAAATAACAAAAACATGCTTTATGGTTGAACTTACTTGATTCATTTATCAAACAGATGTTTGCGCCTTCTGCCAGACTTGAAGTTCAAACTATAAGCTTCAACACAGACAATCTCATCGATCATATCCTTGAATATCGACCGCTCGATCGCCAACACAATGCCGGGCAATTCTCGTCCATAATCCGTCCAGTCCAATGGCGGCCGTCGAAGAATTTCCTCGCCGAATACATCTTCGTCATCCTCATCACGGTCTTCGGTCTTCAAAGCCTCAGCTTGAAGCTGATCAATTTCAGAACACAGTTGTTTAAGCAGCTGTGTTCCGCTCCGAAGCTTTGCTTGGAGCTTCCATGGATGAGAGCTCCAACATGTTGGTTCGAGCTTCTGAATGAGAAGCTCATTAACAACATCAAACACGAGCTTTCGATGCAGCTTTTCGATGTCCAAATTATGATGGAGGAGAGAATTTTCGTCTGCGTTTTCGGGATTGGATGCATGGATGGATTTTGTGTGCTCGAGAACGAGGAAGAGGTCCGGGTTTATGGGGCGGTTTGAAGGAGCAATGGGGCCTGAGCCGAGCTCCATCATCAGAAGACCAGAGGCCAACAGTATTTCGGCGATATAACGGTGATTACGATTCTGTGTTTCGAATAATGATGTGATGTTGTGTGTTGTGGTTGAAGCTGTTGCAAAGGAAGAATGGAGTTCCTCGAGCTTCTGGAGCAGATTCCCAATGCTCTCAAGTTTCTTCTGATTGATCTCAGAATGAGTTTTGTGAGATTCAGAGGAGTTATTAATGCCTGTTCAAGGAATACATCATTAACATCCATGTTTTTAGAATTGTGATACATTACATTTTTAGGGAAATTTACATACATACCGCACAATTCTTATGTATTTACGTATTTAACAACCAAAGTTTGATGTTTACAGTTATAACATTTTGGTGTTATGAACCTATGATTAAAAGGTGTATTTCACTTCTGAGAAGATTATGATGTTGGTATTTTTTATGTGATGTTAAAGTTTGAGTGTATGGATGTAAATTTACATATATATCACACAATTGTTATGTATTTAAATATTAGGCACCCAAAGTTTGAGATTTACACTTCTACCATTTTGGTGTCATAAACCTATAATAAAAATGTGTGTTCTACTTTTAAAAGGATAGGGATTGTGGTATTTTTGATGTGATGTTAAAACTTTAGTAGTATGCACGTAAGTTTACATCCATAACACACAATTCTTATATATTTACATATTTAACACCCAAAGTTTGATATTTATATTTATGCCACTTTGGTGTCATAAATTTATGATAAAAAGGTGTGTTTCGCTCTTAAGAAGACGGTGATGATGATATTTTCTATGTGACGTTAAGGTTTGAGTGATATGCATGTAAATTTACATGCTTGCATGCCGCACATTTTTTATGTATTTATATATCTAACACCCAAAGTTTGATATTTATATTTATGCCACTTTGGTGTCATAAACTTATGATAAAAAGGTGATATGAAAAATTTCGGTTCTATAAATGTAAGAAAGCAAAGTTAACGTGTTAGATATGTAAATACATAGGAATTGGGGGGTATGTATGTAAATGCCCCAAATAAAATAGCAAAATTAAGGATTTAAAGAGCCTGTTTCCACACCTTTAGATGAATTTGTACTTCTCTTCACCATTACTAAAGATGGAAGATCATCCTGATAAAATGTAGCATCTAGAACTGAGATTGGACTAGGCTGTTCTACAGCCACAGCTCCAAGCGCTAAAGTGGAAGTTTGATCATCCAAACCAAGTGGAGAACTCTAAGAGCACAAGAAAAAAAACATATGTTAAGATTAATAAATCACATTTCAACTTCGAAATTAAAAAAAAAAGGGAAATTTACATATGTAGCACACAATTCTTATGTATTTACATATCTTGCACCTATACTTTCATATTTACATATATATATCACTTCGGGGCTTTAAAGCTATACATGCAATGATGCAAAGGTGTATTTCACTTTTAAAAAGTGTAATAGTGCTGTTGTTTTAGCTAATATGAAGAATTTGATTGGTATGTCTGTAAATATGAAACTTTAGGTGTGAGATATGTGAATACATAAGAATTGTGTGCGACGTATGTAAATGGCCCAAATAAAGATACATTCTTTACAAAAATACAATGCTTATTGCAGTAATGGCTGAGTCTGCAAAGATCCTAAATTTTCAAATTTCTATAACGGCTCTTTTTTTTTTGAATGGAAAACATGTTCTAAGAAATAAATATTCTACTTTCACTTTTGTTGTGATTTTGAAAAGATTTGTACTGATCAAAATTAGTGCTGGTTGTTCAATACATAGAAAAAAATGATGGGTGGGTAATGTACATAAATGCCACTCAATTCTTATGTATTTACATATCTAACACCTACATTTATAGCACTTTGTTCCCATAAACCTATGCATGAAAATATGTACTTAACCTTTAAACAAGTAAATAATGGCGGTATTTTTGAGGTAAAATCAAAGATTTGAGCGGTATGTTTGTAAATAGGAATGTTTAGGTGTCAGATATGTAAATGCATAAAAATTGTAAAGTATGTATGTAAATACCCCATAATGGATTTAACAAGTTTCAACATTTTTTTTTAAAGCATTTTCTAACTTCAAGCAACCACATGGAGCCTAATATGAATTGTTATGACATAAAGAATAGAAATTAGAATCCAACTTCTGACAAACAGACCTTTTGAGCTCCCTGCTCAGGGCAAGCAAACCTCTCTGCTAGTGTATCTTCTATACCTGATCTCTGAGTCAACTCGTCTCTCTGCTGATTCGTAGTGGGTCTGCGTCGAAACTTGCTTCTCGGAGACATTAACTCAGATGGTTGCTTATTTGTAGACACGTTCTGATGCTTTCTCAAATCAGATGAAGTAACCGAAGAACGAATTCTACTTTCAACTTCAAGATTTCTCTGCTGTAATCTAGGACTCAGTGAGTTTGATGATTTGTCATTTTTCTCCCTTGAAGACTGCTGAGTTTTAGATAAACCAAACTCAGTTCTTATTCGACCATTTTCTTCGTTTTTTCTGTAAATCATAGAACTTGTTCTTGGACTGCAGTCTCTTCCCAAATTGCTACTAAAAGGCTCCTTCTTTTTCTCCATAACCTCATTAGTTCTCAGTCTCTGAATTCTGCTCAAACCATGCAAATGAACAACAGAAGTTGCGGTGAAATCGGATCTGTTGATAGATTTCGCAGGTTTCATGATTACAATAGGTGAATCATATGCTTTTTCAGTACTATTTCCTATTGTTGAGGCCAGGAGAGCTGGTTTCCGGGCAATGGGAGATCTGAGATCTTCTTCATTCCTTGTCGGAATGAATTTTGGTGAAGATAGTTGCTCGTTCTTCTTCGATTCGAGCAAGCCTTTTGTCTGCATGGCATCCAAAATTTGCTTAAGTGCCCTTAGATCCTTGCTTGCATGAGTAAACTCAATCTCCTTCAATCTCTTCTCAATTTCACCATAAACAGACTCCGACCGCTGCTTCGATCCGTTCTGCGTAACATGAAGCCTCTCCTTCTTCTTCTTCCAAGGAGCAGTTTCCATAGTAGTTTTTGCAGGATTCTTCACAGAGTGTTTATTAAGGTCCTTTTGAAAGTTCCTCGAGGATTCGAAAGGCGTTCTCGCATCGTTCGAGCAATTTATTACCTTATTCTTCATGGCGCCTACTTGTTCTTCATGATTTGAGCTTAATGTAGGCATGGCTTCCAATCCCATTAATTTGGCAACAACACTAGGAGCACTTGTCTTACTTCCAAAGTCTCTTTGACCATTGTTAGATATCTTCATGGAACTCTCCCTACTATCCAAAGAAAGCCTTGGGAGCTCTTTAAATTTCGAATTCGATCTACAATTGGTTGATATTTCTCTCCCATCATAGGAAAAGCGAGAATTCAAAGCGGATTCTTTCGCTTCGAAGGTCCATGGAGCTTCTTTGAGCTTCATGAGGACTTTAAATGATTCATTGAGATCCAAAGTTGATCTTGACTTCGTTCCATCCATCCCATCGATCACATAAGATCCATCCCCTGATTTAGATAGCTGAATTGGCCTTGGAGAATCTATGGAGCTCAGTACAGGCTGCTTGAACTCATGTTGGTATGAGGTTTTCCCTGATAGACAATGAGATTCCTTTTTGACAGATTTATCCTGAAGATTTGATTTATTACAGTCAATGGATGAAAATGATGAACAAGTTGAGGATGAGAAGGATGTTCTTGATGACTCCATTGACATTCTTTGGTTTTCACATAAATTTTTCTCCTGAAAGGGGAAATTTTTTATCATAAATCTTCATAGCTTGAGTGAATAATTTAGAAAAATGAAAATCTTACCAGAGATAATTGAGGTGAGGGTGCAACATTAGCTGTTGCAGGATTGCTGACATTATTTGCATAGGAGTTTCCTGTAAAATTAAAAAAAATAATAAAATAATAATAAAATTATGAGCTTAAGAATGAAAAGTTTGCCTCCTTAAATTCACACTACAAAGTTGGATTAATTATCAAATCATAAAAGATTTACATAAACAATGATTGAAAACAAGAAAAAATTTACAAAAAGTGAAAAAATCAATAATTATATGAGTTTTAAAAGGAAGAAGAAGAAGAAGATGATGATGATGACAAACAAACCTGAAGTAATGTCCTTAAAATTACGCCCTTTAAACCTCCTTCCACCAAGCAGATTTTGTCGATCAAAGATTTGAAAGATTCCAGTCATGCATCCAATTTTCTTCTGCAACTCAGAATTTTCTTCACTAAATGTGTGCCAAAATTTTGCAGACATTTGTTCAATTTCTCAGCCAAACAACTCGCCACAGAGAAAAGGATGGAGCAGCTGCTCCTTAAAATGCCAACCCTAAGCTTCTGATTTATCCCCAAATCCAAAATCTAGGGTTTCGGAGCATCAGCACTAAAACACTTCGGTAAACCCTATGAAACACCGGCAAGAAATACGAAAAATGTCTCTAAAATCTCTGCGCATTAAATCAAATCCGCTCTATTACCAAACATTTCAAATCAGTCCAGGTCAATTTGAAGCTGAAATTGGAGTGAAGCTCATTACAGCAGGAAGTTTTCGCCTTCAAAAATTCCTCAATAAGGTGGAGAAATAAATATTTTCCATACATGGGTATCATTCCCAATCGCGTAAAGAAGACAACTTGGAAATGTACAGAACCAGAAATCTCTCTCAAATTGACTCAGACCTCCATTACTAAAGAAAAGGGAAGGCTTTTCTCAGTTAAACAAACAAGGACCAACCAGAAGGGAAGAGAGCAGATTAATGGGTGTTGAACAACATGTAAGAGAAGAGTGAAACACCAAAATCGAATCTTTGCTGCACCAAGCAGTGAGAACAGGAAGGAGGGTTCCTAATAAACTGAGAAAAACCATGAATTCAATAAAGAATGAGAGAGATGATGACTCTATGAGCCATTGGGGGAAAGTGTGGGGAGGTTTTTATTGCGGTAAGAAGACTCACTGTGAGAGGAGAGAGAGAGAGAGAGAGGAGGAGGAGGAAGGGGAAGATGAAAAATAATGGAGAGAGAGAAGAGGGACAGAGGCATCATGGTGGCATCACAGAATACCATGTGGGGTGATTATTATGGGTGGGTCTAATGTTGTCCACAAGGACATGTGATGGATGTCAGAAGTTAGATGAGAGAAGAGGATTGTGAGCTTTTTAAGCTATGTAAGAAAGCCTTCAAGAATTGATGCTTTCACATTGTCATTTTCTTCTTTGAATTGTGTGAGGAATTCTAAAAGCTTACATCTTAATTTGATTTGAATTGTAGGATAGCTATAAATTTATTTTAAAAATAGTTATGTAACATAATGATAATTGTTAGAATTTTTTTTTGATGAGTGGTGAATATATGTGATAATATTAACATAATAACATGATACATTTAGTATGATAAAATGATGGATTTAGTATGATAACATTATATTCTAATAGCTTCAATATCCTGGATTTAGTATGATAACATTATATTCTAATAGCTTTAATATCCTCACACAAACTCGATCTACTGTAGTAAGGAGCATTTAGAGTTGAGGGTTGTTACATGACTATCATCTAAAGTATTTCATATTACATACCAGACATTGTTGAATTTAAGATTGTATGTGAATCACACAGAAGAAATAGCGTGTAAATGAGAAGAAAAAGATAAGCAAACAGTAATGAATAGCGTTCAATAGTGTTATTTCTCCATGAAATGTTTTCTCTATTAAGAGGGGGACAATGATATTACATTTTTAAACCCATTTGTAGAGGGTATGCACTGGGATATTTTTGATATTTAAAAGCGCAGGCTTATTGTCAGCTGCCTTTTGGCTCGATCGACTTAACTTACTTGACTTAGATTGATGGGGTCAGCTCGGTCCCTTGAGCATGATCGGTAGGGTTCAGTCGGCTGATCCAGCTTGATTGATTGTCTTTGATCCTTGGTGAGGAGTCTTCAGACCTCGGTAGGATGATCATATATACTTTGCGGAATTGGGTTTTAAGCTGGGTCAGCTCTCCTATGAGATAGACTATCTCGTCAAGTTAGTTATCCTCTATCGGATGGCTCAGAAGCTCTCTTGTCTCGTCTTCAGTCGGATGGCTCGCGCTTGAATCATATGGTCTTCTTTTGTACGTCTTTTGGCTCAGTCAGTTTTGTCCTAGTTGACTTGACTTTTTTGCCCGGATGGAGTGCCTCACATTCTCCTTGCAGTGGATCTGAAGTACACCTTGCAGTGGATCTGAAGAGGAGTCTCCATCGATGGAGTGCCTCACATTCTCCTTGCAGTGGATCTGCCTCCATTGTACTCTCTTCTTTTGGACCATTAGATCTCTTTAAGATTCAATACAGACACCTTTTTGAAGTACACACTCAAACATAAATTTTTATATTTTAACACCCAAAATATCCCCCTTCTTCAAAACACTCACCTACCGTTACTTACTCTTTGAAGTTGGGATGGATGATGGAAGTGTCTCTGAAGAAAAATCTTCATAAATTTTTTACAGGGTTCTCAAGGGAACTTCTTTCATACAATGTCCTAAAACATAAAATGTTATTTCATTAGTTTATATAAAAGGTAAAAAAATAAAAATGTAATAAATTAAAATATAAGTGATAATAAAAATATGTTATAATAACAAATACTTATTCTTATAATAAGAAGATGTCATAATATTGATATTATAACATTATAATTCTAGAATGTTCAAAAATCATATTTTAGTAACTATAATAATAGGGAAGTGAACAATATGTTCTCTATTTGCACACTATTACATGTTATATAGAACTATTTACAATAGATATTTAGTATAAATTAATGCATGCAAAAAGGTATTTATTATTGAAACATATTTTTTTATAATATAAGGTTAAAAAACTATATTTGTAGACTACATTGGATTATCAATAAGTGCCATTTTCTTATCATTAAGGAGGTCAACATGTGAGGCTTCATATGCCCAATATCATATTATCAAGTACTTAGGGTTGTTAACCCTATGATTATTTTATAATGATTCTAGTTCTGTCCAAACTACATCTTGGTCTCATAAATTCAAAAACTAAAGTTTTGGCTCATTATTTAATGAAAAAAATATTATCTACTTCCATTTTTTTTTGATAATATACACTTATGAAGATGTTGTGGTCCACCTCAAAATTGCTAGAAACCACTTTATAAGAGTATGAACATTCATTGCATGATTCCCATGTAGAAATCATGCTACTTGTCTCCATGTATGTCACTTTGTATCCTACAAAGAATCTAAAGTACACAGCATAGAAGTCCTACTTCTTTTTTAACTTGGGAGGGACCATTTTATTTTATTTTTTATTTTCCTTATTCTTATTAATCTATATTTAAGTAATATTATTTCATACCATTGGAGAAGTTTTTTTTTGTCTATATTAACTCACATGATGATTTGTATAAATATATTATCATTTAAGATAAAAATAAAAAATAAATTGCTGAAAATTTTTTGTTATATTATGATTTTATTTTTTTTTTCTCAAAGAAAATGCCACTATTATGGGTGTAAACAAACCGAACACGAACGAACAGAGCTTGTGTTTGTGTTCGGTTCGTTTGAAATTTAGTTT